GGGGGGGCGGAAAAGTGTGTGTATGTACATGTGTGCGTGTGTGCATGCACAGCAGGGCGCGCGCGTGCGTGTATGGCGTGTGTGTACATGTATATGGCGTGTGTACGTGTGCGTGCGTGCGTGCGTGCATGCAAAAGCCACAAAGGAGGCGGGAAGAAGGGACACAAGGAAGAGCAGAAGGGCGGAGTGGCGCGGAGCGCGTCTGCAGAGGGGGGGGGGGGGGGAGCAGGACGCTACTCGGAGACGGCTTGCTGGCTGGCCACCCGGCGCCGGGTGGTGGTCGCCTGGCCATCGGCGGCCGAGGCGAAGCGCTGCACATCACCGCCATCGACGCCGGCCAGCGAGAAGGAGACCCCTCCGGCGGTGGCCTGGACCGCTGGCGCGGTGGCCAACAGGTCCACGGAGGAGGAGTCCTCCCCATCATCCGAGGACAGGGACGAGGCATCCTGCCCGGAGATCGGTGCCGTGGCCGACAGATCCGGCATGGGGTCGGAGCTCCGACGGCACGGGCAGGCCCCGGGCCCGGCAGCCTGGCCAATGGCCTGGCCGAAGGACAGCCACTCGGCACTGGAATGGCCGTTGTAGATGTACAGCCGCACCGAGGGCAAGTGCCGGCCATAGTACCGGGCGAAGTCATGCTCCATGCGCAGCTCATCGATGCCATAGAGGGCCAGCTCGCGACTGTTCTTGATATCGGCGCTGGTGAACTGCCGGCACAGGCCGCTGCCATGGGTGTCGGACACCGGGAGCCTCGGCGAGGAAGGGGTCGACAGGGTGCTCAGCGACAGCGAAGGGGGAGTGGCCACCGGCGAGGCCACCGTCGAGGCGGCCGACCGCTCGCGCTGCTGCAGGTAGTCCTGCTGCTGCTGCTGCTGCTGCTGCTGCTTCAGCTGCTGCTGGATGAGGTGCGAGTTGCCGCCCACGGTGTCCGACAGGGAGAGGGCGCCGGAAGCGGCACGGCGCTTGACCGACACCTTGCGCAGGCGGTCGCTCCGATCGCGCTCCGACTTGGCCGTGGCCAGGATCCGCTGGGGGAAGTTGTCCGCCCCATCGAAGTCCATGCCGAAGTGGTCGTACACTCGACGCACGGTGCCCACCGGGTCGGCGCTCATGTCGACCAGCTCGATGTCGAAGAAGTGCTTGCGGTCCAGCTCGGGCCCGAGCTTGTCGCGCAAGTCCATCAGCCGGTTGGCCATGTTCAGCAGCATCTTGTACGTGAGCACGGCATAGGGCGGGCCCAGGTCGCGATCGTCCGGCTGGTAGATGGACAGCTGGGAGGCGAGAGCGGGAGAGGGCGAGGAGGAGGATGGTGGGGGGGGGGGGGAAAGACAGCATGAGTTGGTGTCAGTATGCATGGCCGAGGAGGGGGGGAGAGAAGCAGAGGGGAGGAAGGCCGGCCGCAATCCGGCAGCAAGTCCGTCCCCAGCAAGACGAGCAGCGCACCATCTGCACTTGGAACTTGGTCCAGGAAGCCAAGACATAGCGCGGGTCGCGGTGGGTGTTGACCGCCCGCAGATCGGGGAACTCATTGAACAGGGCCTCCGGATAGAGAGAGTGCACCGGAGCCTTGAGAACCCAGTGGGAGACTGGCTCGTACTGGTATGCCAGCAGCTGGAGGAAGAGCCGGAAGTACCGGTACAGGTAGGCCTTGTTGTTGGGGTCCATGAACCAATCCTGTGACACGTGGGCCGGGCGCCGAGGGGGGGGGGGG